TCTCCATGATAAATCTGAAAATGGCAGCCTCTCTTGTATTGTGGATGGGGGTGGGGAGACCTTTTGGGAAACATATTTGCACCGATATCGGCCTGTCACAGACGTATCGGTATCAGCGTGTATGTTGTTCAACCTGTGCCGATTTGGAAATTTATTTTAGATCTATGAATGGCATCATCACACAGTGTGTCTAGCAGAGCAGCTCTGACTCCATTGTTTACAATAATCTCAGAACAGTGTGCAGCACATGTAGCAGAGTCTGCGTTGTAGCTGAGCAGATGAAATACATCATTGGAAGCCCGGTTGTGTTGGACCTCTGTGAGTCACGTTAGAGCGTCAGAACACGTTGAATTCTGAGCTAAGTGTGCCGAACTATTCATGATTTATTGTTTGCAGTACATGTAGCAGAGCATGCTTCATAGCTGAGCGGACAGTGTTGATAGATAGATAGATAGATAGATAGATAGATAGATAGATAGATAGATAGATAGATAGATAGATAGATAGATAGATAGATAGATAGATNGATAGATAGATGGATAGATAGATAGATAGATAGATAGATAGATAGATAGATAGATAGATAGATAGATAGATAGATAGATGGATAGATATTAGTTGATTACATTTAGTTACATTAAAGAATTACTGTTCATTAACTTTGAAACAATGTGTTTCACAGACAACTTATCAGCCTGAGACACTGCATGACTCCGCACCACTGTCTGATGAACCGCGATGCTTGCTCTGCTACATGTGCTGCAGACAGCGATCAGAGCATTGGAGCAACACAGGAGTTAGAGACACTGCTGCACAAGCTAAACTGAATCCGTTTATTGCGACCAGAGTCTTAAACACATGAGAATATGAACAAATTAAGATTAATTATTAAAGAAATAACAATACACAGCTAGCCTAGGGTGGTTATTTAATGTGCATTGTATGTGTCTGTATGTGATTCTACAAGTACTTCTAAATGCTATAACTGAAGCATAGAAATTCTTGCTCTGTCTTGCCTGCGTTTAAGTACAAATCAGCTTTAACACACTGCTAACGTATACTCAGTATGACTTGTAAAATCCCATTACTCTTATGTCTGTTGCATCATTCAGTGCGTCCACGCTGCTGTATGTTACATGCACTACTTCACCGAGGACATTTCTGTTTTTTTTTTTTTTTTGGTTTTTCACAAAAACGATGCTGCTCACTCCTGTTCTCTGTCTGTTTTCCCACTCTCTTATCCTTCTATTCTTTTTACAATATGTCTGCTCATCGTGAGCCATTTGTATTCTCATGTAAAGAAAAAAACACAGGCCCAGCACACATACAGAAATGTATTTTCTGTCTCTCTTCCCTCTTTTTTCTCTCACGCACACAGAAATACATGCGCTCGTCTCCACACATACACACACCGGCATGCACACAAACAGACACGCACACAGACAGTCAGCTGTGCCCTTCCCACAGCTAGTAGCACGAAAACAGAACACACTGCCTGCCCCTGCCTCACACACACACACACACACACACACACACACATGTGCGCACACAAACTCTGCAACGGCCCTCTACACACTCTTAAAGGGACATGACACAAACTTATACTTGGCTTTCCGACGCCAGCCATCGTACCTGAACGTTAAATGAGTGAAAGCTGCATCATCCTTCATTGTCATAATGACGTATTGTTGTGATTTCAGAAGACTGTGAGTCCGGCAACGTGAGACTAGCAAAGTGTTTGACAGGTAAACCAGAGTGTCATTTGTAGGAAATGTTTGGGAGACATTAAATATTAAAACATTCTGTTTTTATCCCTGAAGTAACAGAACAAGAACATGCAATACGCCTGTGATTGTGTTCAATCCATAGTCTACTAACAGAAACTAATGGAAACCGTTAGTAGAAGATATCGGAATGTTGAAATGTTTATAGTTCAATGGTCCCGCCTTGAAATTAAGACAATGAACGCGGCTGTAATGTGTAAGAGCAGAAACCTTTTCAGTCACAAAGGAAAAACCGGATATGGCACCCTAACAAAACAAAGAAAATAGTCGAATGAGTGAATAAGTGATGATCAAAACTGAACAAAGTGGGGTCGCCTTGTCTCCGAATTGCTCTGTTCGTCTGTATTTGTCTTCTAGAAATCCTAAAACTTCTTCTCCGTCTTCCAGAACACCTAAAATAGCCATATTCTTTCAGTGGGGGGTGTGACCCGATAGCTGAGTGGTTAGGCTGCATACCACATGGGCGCGAATGCCATCAAGCAGTGAGACCCCAGCTCCATTACCAGCTGGCTGGACCCTCACTGCTTGTCACTCCCCTCCATGTTCTCTTAGCCACATTTCCTAAATCAAGGAAAATCTTTTTTTTTTAAATTGTTTTTTAAAAAAAGACACAGTTTTGACCCCAGACCAAATTTTGATAAACAAAGAGTATAATCTTTAATTAGTTGTGGGCCTGCTGCACTTTTGTTAGGCCCCTTGGGGGTCTTTGAACCCTAGTATGGGAACCAATGGCCTAGAATTACATGAAAAACTAAAGAAATAAACCCACTTATGGACTCCTATTTGCAGTTATATAATCAGGTAAAGTAATGACACCAATCAGGGTACTGCACAGACTTTCTGAGATGCAAAAATAGGAAGATGCGAGTTTTCCTGAGTGTCAGGATCGGAGTTTTATAAATGTGTTTGTTTATTTATGTTCTAACAAAAGAATCATTAAAAAAATAAAATAATATGGTCCCTGATCCATTCATCTATCACTCCGATCATGCATTAGAGCCTACAAAAATAGCATGATATTGGTGATCAAAAAGTGTTTTGGCAGTAGATCTGCTTGACAGTAATACTTACATAAGATTGTAGCTCTGTAAATCATCATAAATAAGAATTCCAAGACACAATCTCCAGTCTAGCTATCTGGCACTCACTGTGCATCATTGGCTGAGCATTGACAGGAAGTGGGATGACCTTCCTTTACCTAGACCACAGTGGTTCACATTATATATTCATTTTTACTTTGAAATACCATTAAACATAAGGTTAAAACATAGACATTTTTAGTCAGACACATATTTACATATCATTTTTTCTAAATTGCTATAGCTGTTAGGCCTGGCCATCCAAGGCTGCAGCTCTGGATCTCAATTTTGAATTTTTTGGTTACAGAAATAAGAATAATGCATTAATCCGTCACTATGATCATGCATTAGAGCCAACAAAAATAGCACAATCTTGCTAGTGAATTAAAAAAAGCAAGTACCCCATATTTGTGGTCCTCTGTGAAGGGTTAAGCATGTGTAGCTGTAAGACAGGTATTTGGCCTGCACATGGGGGCACTTTAGAGGTACATGAACCAACAAGGGTGGGCATTTGGACCAATCAAGCACACATCTGGTGTTGCATTTTGGGCAAAAAAAAATGAAACACTGAATCATAGCAGTTGGACAAATACATACATAGCATTGCTTAAAAACAGGAATAGGTCAAGCCTGGGTGTCCGAGGCTACAGCCGTAGATCTGAATGTTTGATTAGTATTTTTTTTATCATAAAAATAAGAATAATGCATTCATATGTCACTCCAATCATGCTTTATATTGTTTAAAAACATGCACGTAGCCTATGTGTTGGGTCTTCTGTGTGCCAATTAAGCAGTAGATCTATTTGACGCTCCTTGGCACTAATACTTACAGACGAGCTATTACCTACCTTATCTTATCCTAACTTATCTGTAGATCATTATAAATGTGACTAATTCCAAGGCACACAGTCTAGCTAGTCTGCACTCACCGTGATATAAATGTGGATCATGGGCTGAACATAGAAAGAAAGTGGGAAGACCTTACTTTGCCTAGACCACAGTGGCTCACGTTTTCTATTCGTTTTACTCTCCAGTCCTCGAGGGCCGCAATCCTGCATGTTCTAGATGTTTCCTTCTTCCAACACACCTGATTCACATGATCAGGCTTCTGCAGAGCTTGAGGATGAGCTGATCATTTGAATCAGGTGTGTTGGAAGAGGGAAACAGCTAAAACATGCAGGATTGTGGCCCTCGAGGACCGGAGTTCTACACCCCTGCGTTGCATTCTAACATGTTACTGCAGGACAGGTATTTCAGCTGACCATGGGGGGCACTTTAGAGGTACATGAGCCAACAAGGGTGGGCATCTAAACCAATCAGGTGCACATTTGGTGTTGAAGTTGGGCAAAAAAGTGAAACATTAAATCCTACATGTCATTGTTAAAAAAATAACAACAGCAGTTAGGTCCGGGTGTCTGAGACTACAGCCTCAGTTTTTATTCATAGTTGTTTTTAATTAAATTGCAAACATAATAATGAATTAATATGTTGTGCCGATCATGCATTGGAGCCCACAGAAATAGCATGATGTTGTTAATGTTGCATTCTGGCTGCAGGACAGGTATTTGGACCGAACACGGGGGGCACGTTAGTGGCACATTAACCAACAAGGGTGAGCAATTGCACCAGTAAAGCGCACATCTGGTGTTATGTTTGGGCAAGAAATGAAACACTGAGTCACATGGAGTGGACACATATATCCATATTTAAGATTCAAAGGCTTTATTGTCATATAACAAGTTCAATGCGTTGAAGTTCTTGGTAACAAATAGGAACATTGGTGCTGCAAAGTGAAAAACTGTATCAAGAAAGCTTATGCAATATTTACGGTGCATAAATTTAAAACATGCTCATACAAACTGATTATTCTACAAAACAAAAAATAGTGATATTTTTAAGACTGGGTGTTGTACATGAGCACAGATCCAACGTAAGGCCTGAACTTGAAGGCCTCGCAAAGAAAACTTGAACTTGAGCGAAGTCGACACAAACTGAGACACTGTGGCTTTAAGAAGCCCCCACCGTCTCACAACAGGGGGGGCGTGAGCTGAATCCAGGAACAGCGATTGAAAAAAAAAAAAACGCTCCACCAGCGGACTGTTTCAAGTTCCCCCCCCGGCTGAAACCCTGCCTGATTTGTGGGCAATGTTGGGGATGTAGAAAAAAAAAAGGAAACCGGAGCAAAGAGAGCGCAAGGGAGAGATAGGGAGACAACACTAACTGGGTAGCTATGGAGATAGTAGGTTTTCCTGGTAGCTTTCTTTGACAGGTGTCGAGTGGGATAAAATAAAGTGTCAGAACAGCTTCCAAGATGTACGGCAAAGGTAAAGGAGCTGTGGTCCCCTCCGATAGCCAAGCGAGAGAAAAGTAAGTACATTATTGCACTGTCACAACACAAATCCAGCAAAGAGGAGTGTGCTAGCTGGCTAAACTTGCTAACTGATGTGGAGCACTTGAGCCACTTCGGGGGTCCGTGTTCGTCTGAAAAAGCGACAAAAAAAAAGTGATGCCGTGGTAGTTTGTTCGTTTTTACTTTCATTGTGTACATATGTGTGCCTCTTCCTTTCTTCTCTTGCATCCTCCAACTACAGGCATGGCTGCTAAGTTAGCCCCCCGAGCTACTAGCTGCACTGCCAGTTTCACTCTTTTCTGATGCAAAAAAAAAAAAAGAAAGAGAGAGAAGACAAGAGAGTAAAGCGACTAAAGTTGTACCACTTCCACAGGCGGGAGTGTTTTGCACGTGTTTCCAGTAATAATGCATTAAATGTGCACTAGGCTCATTTGTGTTTTGTGTGTGTATATATATATAAATGTGTGTGAGAGAGGGAGAGGGGAGCATTGATGGGGATCCCACTTCAGCTCCCATCTCGGAACAATGCATTTGGAAGTGACGCCGTGCATTGTAAGCTAGCTCGGCTTTTGTGTCGCCCCGCTGAAGCAGCAGGTAAAAATAGAATACAGCTGTTTGGGGGGCTTTGTCACAGAATAGCACAGGAACGTGTTCTAGTTATTGTTCCACACCGAGACGAGCTCACAAATGTATCCGTGCTGCTGCCGCCGCTTCGGGCAGCAGCGGAGAGGAGCCGCCGCCGCCGCCGCCGCCGTGTTGCAGCTGTAACTTTTGTGGCCCGTACAGATTTTCTACCCCGAGTTGTGCGACTCACTTGTGGGGGTTCAACTGCCCCGCACCGCTCCCCAGTGCTGGCTCCGGAGATGGGCTTTGTAGAGGCTGGTTTGGTCCGGAAACTTAGACGGTGTTAGCTTGGGGAGCTGTAGCCCTCCAGTCCCTTTGTCTGCATGCCTCTGTCTCGATGCCTGTTGTTCGCTGAGGAGAGACGTGCCGCACGGTTACCAACACTTCAACAAGCCGCACAGCTTTCACACCAACCTTAAATATTAATTGCTGTGCTTTAGAGAAGCCACTATCTTCAGTGAACTTCCTTTTGCTGATGGTCATTTAAACCCTTTAATTTTAAGTTTGCTGGATGTGATAGTTTTGTGTTGCACAACAACCCCAGAGGTACAGAAGAAGTCACACAGGTTGTGTCCTCCTTCCTCACAACAGTTGGATCAGCTGCCCGCTTGGATCAGGCAGCCGGTTAGTGAAGTGGGACACAGTTGTCAGGCTCATGTGAATGTTTGCATGAAGATCAGCACCTCAGCAGCGTCCCTTTGTGAGCCCCGTATTCTTTCTCTCCTAATGTCTTCTCTTCATCTGCCTCCTAACTCTCACTTCCCATCCACTGCTGCTCCTCAAAGTCCTCATCCCTCACTTCGGTGTTGAATTATTGAGACAGACTGAAGCAGCTGCTCTCAGCTTTGCGTCAGAGTTGAGAGAGACAGAAGGGAAAGAAAGAGACTGAAGAGAGGGAGATATGGTGGGCAGACTCATCCATGTTTAAAGAGGGGGTTTTGTCGGGAGCCTCGGGCAGGATGTCAGGTGTGCCGATGGTGCACGTTGGGGAGACTTCTCGCTCGGTGCAAGTATATGCTAACCGATGTCCTACCTCGGAACGTGGAAGGGAACGGCGGGTGGGGAGGTCAGGGGTCACCTCACGTGGTGTGATGGAGGAATAATGTTTTGTTTAAGCATGAAAGAGAGTCGGGAATGTGCAGAAATCCTAAGAAAGTGGCGTGCAATTCAAGTTATGTGGAGTAAAAGTTCGGTGTCACCCCTAAAAACTGTGCGTTAAAGGTTCTCGGTGCTATCGTTCCTTCCCTGCTGAATAGAGTTTCTCATAACTGTCTAGAGCGACCACCACTGTCCTCTTTTCCCTTCTCCGTCACAACTTGACTGCTCCTCTGATCCCCCCTGTACCATCTACTGTTCCTCCCTTTAGTCAAAACTAGGTACATCCCCTCATAAGTTTCAGTCAAAGTGAATCTCTCTCCTCTCCCTGTGCTCCACCGTCCTACAGTGGCTCCACTCCTCAAACTTCTCTTCGTTTTCTATGAGCTAGCTTCAGAGCTTTAATAATGCAGTAGGCCAGGTGCACGCACAAGCCGCCCCGTTTGCAACCCACACAAAAACACACACACACACACGCACCACACATAAAAATTTCATTGAAAACCTCTTGGGGGGCATCTGCAGTGTGATCCTCCTGTCCCGTGACATAAGAAAAAGTCCTTAACTATTTCCTACTGCTAGTCAAACTCCTGTGTAAGGATGTACGTGTATTGAGCAAGCCCGTAAGCCTGCAGTGCACAGGGAGATGCAAACAGTATCAATATTTGAAGCACTCGCTGTATCCTAAAGCTTCCTGTGAGCCTTCGCCAGGCATTTCAAAATTCTCCAAATCAGTTCAGATCTAAGGAATCTTTAGGCGTTTAAGTGCAAAATGCTCCATCATGTGTAGTGTATGTGTGCGAGCTTGTGTGTGTGGCCCAATACTAGACTGACCTGCAAGTGGCAGTGACTTACACTCTACACCAGCGGTCACAGAGAGCTTTGTGACCTACAAATTGCCAGGAGCCTCAGAAAGTGGTCAGATTCCCCTGGCTAAAGTGGTCAAGTGTTTGTGTGTGCGTGTGTCTAAGCAGAAGCGCAGTCTTTAGCCTCTTAAAGCATCAGCCATTTGTACAACAACCAATCTGTCCCACTCTCTGTGTTGAAATAATTAAGTGGATGCAGATAGGATGCATTCTGCGCTGTTGTGTATGTTATTGTTGTGCAGAATGTGATGAATCAGTGTAATCTACTGTGGAAAGTTGAGAATTCAAGGCCGCTTCTGCTTTATTTCTTTATTGTTCATCTGCATGTTTGTGTATGTTTTCTTATCTTGGTGACTATCTGCAAGTGGGAAACACCCTCAGCTATTTATTACCTCCTGAGCAGGATGACCTGCTTTACATGTACAGAGACACATATTGAAACTATTATCCTTTTTTATACAAGAAGCACAGATATGCATGTTCAATGTGGTTTAACACAGTTCTAAGGAAAGACTGATGTCACATGTTAATATGTGGTCATTATCATCCACTGAGACTCATGTCTGCAACTGTGGTTTGATGCTTGTTACAGATAAACTGTAGGAACACCAAGAATTATATTACTCGAGCGCTGAGCAAAGTTTCTGTTCTCTCTGGATGCTCGGTTTCGCTCTTGCACTCTGAGTGTTTTTTAGACAAGTCGGGGAGTCATTAAATGTTCTTCAAAAGTCAATAACTTTAATTGCCCATAGCGTAGCACAAAAGCTTGTTCAACAAAGCAGGATCCAACCTACGTACAGCTCAGGTTAGAAGCTTGGCAGGTCTGGTGCCTCGTGTTGACCCATTCAACCACTGTGGCAGTCTCTCAGTGTGCACCGTACAGTTTCATCGAGTTGAGCTATTTCAGTGCCGATGGTGAATGGGATGTTGTGAGCAGTCTTGAAAGTATGCAAGGTTGTCGTGAGAGTGTATTGTCTGGGGCTATTGATGTATATGAATTGTTAGCATTGTCTTTCATTCTTGTAACATGTCTAAAATGCTGTATTATATTAGTGTCTGTTCATTAGTATGTGAAGTGCACCTTTTCATGCCTATGAAAGCACTCTGAATAGCAAGCGCAACCGATCACGTGTGACACTTGAATTAGAACTTTGTTGCTTTCTGCATATCTTAGAAACACATGGGTTGTGTGTCATCTTTAATTCTTAAGAAACACACATTAAAGTCTGCTCGCTAGCCTTGAAAACGTCCCCTGTCTGTGTTGTTTCCATGTGAAGGACAAGGTATTATCATGTAGGGACCATCGGCTCCATACTACGGTTACCGTCTATTTGCCTATTCATATCTGTTACAGACTACATTTGCATACTAACAATGCATATTTTAAACATTTGCATACCATTAGTAGTAAGAACAGGTCAGGCAAAGATCATATCTTTATCGTATCACACTGTAGCAGTTGTTGTCATTTCTCTTCCCTCATAGCAGAAATAGTGCTAAACATGAAAGCATTTTCGCCTTCCCCCCTCACAGAAAAGTGCATTGCTTTGCTATCCCCCATGTGGACATTTCTATTAGGTACACCTATTTATTTGTGGGTATTTTTGCAGTGACACACATCAGTGTCAGCTATTAACTAAATATAGGAACACTGTATATCATAGCATCTGTAGCCGAAGCTAATTTGAAAACGTGTCCCCGAACAGGGACATAATATATCTAGGCATGCTTCACAAACTTGCATTTAATGGTTCTAGTTGTGGTTAGTACAGGTGGGTGAAAAAGAGAGACTCACATAGCAGTTTCTATCAGCTTTGAGATTCTCAGTTTTACTCACAAATATCAAAATAAATTGTTAATGTTTTTACGTGGAAATGAAAAAGGCAGAAGTGAAAATACAAAGGCAGCACCTGGATAGTGTCCCACATGCACACACTGGAGTTATCTTGTAGTTCATCTTCAAAAGCAAGGCAAGCGTTTAAGGCAGATTTTGGGTTTAATGACTTCTCACCTGTACTAGCGATGCAGCAGAGAGGCTGTTCTTTAAAGCTGGAGACAAAACATTACCACAAACACAATGTAGGACACTCCTTCTGACTTGAACTGTGGCAAGAATTGCACTCAAATGAAAATCAAATTGTAGGATTGCAAGATTTTCCTAATCTCTTACTAGTATGTCAATCTGCTCGATAAATTGAATGTTGAATAAAGAATGAAAACAGTTAAAGATGCCCCTCATAATGTTTGAGAGCACAAGGTGACACCATCAAATGTCATCGTTAGTCCCAGTATATATATATTCAGTTTGCTATGACTAAGAGGTGCAGCAAAATCTAACATTTGAGACTTGAAATTATGTCACATTTGGCATATCTGCTTGAAAAAAATATCTTTCAACTTTTAATTGATGATTGAAATAGTGTCAGATTAATTTTCCTTTCAGCAGATGCCCCCCAGGGTTCCACCTGGTTTATAAGCACTTCAGATGCGTGGTGATGCAGGAACATGTAGATAAATTCAGCTTTTACAAACTGAGTGCAGTTATTAAACTGAATTCTAGCTTCACATCCAGTTTGTTGTCATGTTCCTAAATATCATCTTAAGTGGCGTTAATGCACAAAACGTATTTAAATAGATTGTTAATTTCATTTCACCATTCGGTAGCAGTGGAAAGGAAGATATGGTTGGAGAAGAGCCGTCAGTGATTAAAAACAAAGTGCACAACAGCCTGATTATCTCAAAACCATGTTTCATTGATCAGTTCATTGACTAATGATGGGGACTATGACACTGAGCTACTGTCCTTCTCATTAGGACCTTATTGGCCTGTCAGAGGACCGTCTGCTCTGGGCACACAGGGCACTGTCATATCCACGCTGCCGGTCGATTGATGGTCCATTAACAGCCTATTAAACATGACTAAGTGAAGGAGTTAGGAGTACAATGTTGGGCCAATGGGGGTTTCCCACTCCACAGCATGGTTCTTCTGTCTGTTAATAGACCCTGGTGGATTGCCATTTTCAAGTGTTGCTGGCCTGTTATAATAGCAGCGATTTAAAAAAAAAAAAAAAAGTCTGACGAGAGCTTTTTTTTTTTGGAGGGAATGCCTGTCGTACGCAGCTATTTCTGTTAGTATGTGGTGCTTTCAGTCAGATCACATTTTTTTTCATGCAGTTTGAGTGTTTTTGTGACTCCTTTGTGATTAGAGGACTTTGGAGGATTAGGCTTGATAAGATGCACAGAAGCAGTAGTGGAAATACAATACAGGCCACCTGCAACCCTGGAAACTTTAAGTGGGATTTATGGTCTATCCAAACAGAGCTAGTGTGAAGCTTCACCTGCATTTCAGCAACAGGAACCTTGAGCCAGTTGTAGTTTCTGTTTCATGGTTTCTGCCCCCAACAATCTCCTGAGAGGGAGCTTTACAGCCAGCCAGGAACTATCAAAGTGAAGGTAACATTACTGAATAACTGCATTTCCCCCATAAGTCTCCAGAACTTTTATTTCCAAGAACAGATGTCCTTTGTTACCTGTATTTTTCACCGCACTGGCCCACAACGATTGAGCGAATTAGTCAGCTCATATTTCAAAAAGTGACGGTGGTTTTACCGTGTTATTTTTACACACAACAAAACATCTGGATTAACTGTTGGTCCATTCCTCTGATGCGCCGTGTTGTTGTTAAAAATAGCTGTAAAATGCTTTAGAAAACGCAGGCACACGCCACCATTCAACAATGTTTGGTTCCACAGAGTCCCACCCTAAACATTCTTGTACCTGAATGGTTGCAGCATTGGTTCCTGCTAGTCTTAATATTACGAACAGGAATGAGCGGTTTTTTAAGATGATTAAGTGACTGTTAGGCAGCCAACTTTTCAATTCATTGAGAAAACAAGTCAACAAGCGAAAAAAACAAAACTTAAACTTGACTTGTGTTAGTAAGTTATGTACTGCTGCAGAAACTCGGGGCAGACATGAGGTCCCACAAACGTTTATAACTTTCAGCTACAGTGTCGAATCCATTGGACTTGCCAGGTGACATAATACCTTTGTGACAGTTTCGACTGGAACGGCTGTTTAGAAAAAAGGAGAAAACCAACTTATTTGTTGTTGTTTGTGTTAGCCTATATGCCGAGTTTTATGCTGCTGATGGTGATGTTTGAAAGGGAAAGTCTGCGACTCAAAGAGGACATCAAGACAGCAGCACCTGTTGTTATTATCCTCTGTGGTTTTAACCAGTCAGCCTCAAGGCCTGCCTACAAGGTTTTAGGGCTGCTCCTGCTAAAAAGTTCCTGCAGTTGGAAAAGGGAAAGAGGTGCAGGTGGCAGTATAACAGCCTACGAGTTCCTGCAGCAGCTTATGGATTTGTCCTCCCAACTTTGGAGGTGGGCATGTTGCCTTTTTTATATTTGGCAGCAGAGCACTAGGACTCCACAAATATCACCAAAATGGTAATCACAATTATTTTGATGAGTATTAAGATATGATTATTTATGATGATTATTTTTTAGGGACAGACTATTTTTACTGCACTTTTACAATCAAGTGAACAGAGCTGTGTTTTCACTTCCATGTTGTGCTAATAGACTAATCCTTGCATCAAAATGAGACTTCAAATAAGCCGAAGTTTAGTGAATCTCCTACAAGCAAAAATATAAATGAAACTGTAGCCAAAACACTGCACACGCTCAACATCTGCTTATCAACGGACAATGTTCCCTAAACGATTCACATGCAGCGTACGTTGGACCCAGGCCAGTCGGTTGTGCACGGTGAAGCCGCTAGTCTCCTCTCAGACTAAAAATTACTTGTGAAATAAGGCTTTTGAATGTCAGAACTACCCGCGTTGAATGAAGTTATCTACATGGACTGTTTTTGTGTGAATGGGAAACTCATTTTAAATGTCAGTGTCACAGTTCATTTGGTTGTGGGAAGCCAAAACCAGACGGAGCGCTACGTATCACACACCACCAAACAACTGTTGGTGTTTCAAGTAAAAACTACGAAGCTGCTTTTTTCTGTGTTAAACGTATACATTATGTGACAATGCATAATATTTGTGGTAATAACGTGATGTGGTTAAACATAATCTTACATTACATTGATCTTAAATACGTTCTTTTCCTTTACTTTCAGGTTAGCGTTATATGTGTACGAGTACCTGCTACATGTGGGAGCACAGAAGTCAGCACAGACCTTCCTGTCTGAGGTAAGATGGCTTCTATAACTCAAAGTAGTTTAGAAGGTACTGAGCTCAGACTGACAGCTTACAGACCCCTTCATTCTTTATGTGAAAATCGCCTGCGTGTTTTAACTTCAAGTAGCTCCATGTTACCTGAGACACGGGCCTTGATTACTTATGAATGCAAAACAACTTTGTTGATTACTAAGCTTTACATAATATAGCTCTACGATAGCACATGTTTACCGCAACTTGTACCTTCTCAGACATACATTGTCAGTGCAAACATGCTAAACATGATTACAGAGTGCAAGGTGTTGCGTAAATTTTTTATAAGGAATCCTATAAAGTTACACCAGATCACGCTCACTGTCCACCATGGTGAATGTTAGGAGAAGTGGCGAAGTAAAGCCAACTGATGTCATTGTTTGTGGACGTTGTGTTGTTTGTATGAAAACAACTAAACAGTGAACGAGTTAATCAGTGTGCTTCTCATTAAAAAGAGCAACAAGACAAGGCCTAATAGGAGGAAGAGAATAGGGAAGATGGAGATCGACAGAGCTAGAAAGATGCCTATCTTCACGTTCGAGGCCATTGACAGTTTAGGACTGACTGATTATATGTTCTTAACCCCTGGACCC